CAATAGAGTCCCATTGTCTTCCTGGCATCTCCAGCACGTTGGTGGGGTAGTGGGGAAGATCCTGTGAAGTAGTACTGGTGTTCTATACCACATGGAGATCAGTTTGTAATTTACCTCTTGATAACGGGAGCTAGAGGAGCTCTTGTGTTGCCATATCAGGGCTTTGTCCCATTGCGTCGGAGTGAAAGTCTTGTCCATGGCCCATTCTCAGCGTCGCTGGAAGGTGTTGTTGTCCGATGTGGTATCAGTCAACAGGTATTGATAAAGGTTCGAGACAGTTTTCCCAAAAGACGCGCCGCGGGAGCAAAGGTCCTCAAACCACGTTAGTTCTCTCCGTAGTTTATCCTTATGAGGCAGAGAATTGTAATAATGTTTTAGTTGCATATACCGGAGAATCACCATCGGAGATCGTGGTCGGTCTTCCATCAGCGTGTCTAGCGTCTTTAGGGTACAGTCCCGGGTGACTTTGTATATTTGGGATATATTCCGCGTTCCCCAGGAATGTCCAGGCTTCCATAGGCAGCCCGCCCCCTATACCGGGGTTGTGTGTAATCGGCAGCAAGGGGCTCGGGGTCAGGGAGACCCTGGGTGTCTCCCTGAGGCTCTCCCACGCGAGCAGTGTTTGTTCCACCGGGCCCCTCGTCCTATCTCCTGCTGCCCCTGGTCGCCCGTCTCCTCCACACCATCACTTTTAGTTTCACTGCGTCTCCTTCCCGGTCCAGAATCACACATTGCTTGCTCGTGTCCATTTCATGCCATTCCAGAATCCGCTGTAGCGTCGCAGCTTGGTAATATTTTTTAAAGTCCAGCAGTGCTAGACCCCCTCTGTGTCTGGGCATACATAATAAGTCGTGGCGTAGCCTGGATCTTTCCCCTCTCCATGTATATTGGATAACAGACGACCTGAGTGTCGAGAAAAATGTCATCGGCAGGGCTACTGGAATGGTCTGAAATAGATAAAGAACCCTCGGGAGGATGTTCATTTTAAGGACCGCTATGCGGCAGTGCCACGTAATGTGCAGGTAAGCCCATCTCTTCAGATCTGATTCAATTGACTGCAAGAGCGCTGCGAAGTTGAGTCGATATATATCTTGCGGGTCCGTGGGAATCCAGATGCCTAGATACTTCATCGCCCCTGCGCACCAACGAAATGGGAAGAGCGGGCCCAGGGACTCGAAGTCTACCGCGGGTACAGTGATATTTAGTGCCTCACATTTCGCCAGGTTTAGCTTAAACCCGGATATCCGGACAAATTTGTCCATATCTGAAAGTATGCATGGTAGCGTGATCCGTGGCTGGGAAATAAAGAACAGGAGGTCGTCCGCATAAGTGGCCACCTTATGTTCCGTGCCTTGACAGGAATAGCTGTGGATGTCTGGGCGGTCCCGAATTGCTTGTAGGAGTGGCTCCAGGGAGAGAGCGAACAGGAGTGGCGACAGGGGGCATCCCTGCCTGGTGCCGTTTACGATTCCAAAGCTCATAGTCAGAGCTCCATTAACACGTACCGACGCTCTCGTCGAGCTGTATAGGGCAGAGATCCACGCCATAGTCCTCTGCCCTATACCCATGCACCGGAGCGTTTGGGTCATGTATGACCAATCCACCCGGTCAAATGCCTTCTCCGCGTCCGTGGATAACAGCAGGAGGGGTTTCCAATGTTTCCGTGCATGGTGTTGTATAGAAAACAGGCGTAGCGTACTGTCCCGAGCTTCTCGGCCCGGGATAAATCCCGTCTGGTCCACATGAACTAGATTCGGTAATATCCGTTGAAATCTAGTCGCCAGGACTTTTGTCAGGAGTTTCGTGTCCACATTCAGTAGGGAAATTGGACGGTAACTGCCGCATTCTTTCACATTTTTTTCATGTACAACCCCAATAAATTTTGAGGCGTGTGTGTTTTCACTAGACATTTGTAGAGCACTGCACTCTAAGTGTTTGGAAGGTGAGGACACCAACCAAACTCTGTTATCTTTCTTGGTGGTTTTATATATTATAGTGGGAATTTGGAGTATCCACAGAGTGTGTTCAGCAGCTTGGCTATAAATTAGTAACACAACTAAAAGCGCAGTTTTTTTCCACATTAGTTGTTTTCTATATATTAACATATTGCCTAGTTAAGTGGAAGCTCCAGGTTTACACATTGCAATAGGCCCAGGCTCTGTCTCTCTTTTTTTATTTGTGAGTCTGTCTGTTCTTGAAGTGTTTCCCTGAAAGGCAGGTAGAGGGCACCACTCACAGTTATAATGCACGGACAGATTTCAAATTTGTCTCAGTGTTCTATTTCATAGAAACAACACTAGTCATTTAAATTATAAAATTGGAACTTCAGATCCTAAACGGGATTAGTAGCTACATTTTAATTCTATTTACTAATGAATTTGGCACTAATACCTATACTCTGTGTTCATCAGTTTATTATGGATCTTTTGAGTCAATTCGCAGCTTGGGAATATAATAATTTGTTTCTAAATGCTATGCATTATTACATATTTAATGATTTTTGGGTTTTTTTCCACTGACAGGTGTCCATTTTGGAAGGAAGTGCCTGAAGCAGAAAGCCAGTCACTGCTCGTAAAGAGGGAAGACGGAATGTTTTAGTGAGTTTGAGTTAATAAACTGGCTGATTGTGTATTAAGTATATAATGTGTAGACTTCGCTCATAATCTAACGTTTAATAATTATCTACATGTTAATGAAACAAGAAAACACACATATAATTACACCAATGATAAGTTAGTGAAATGTGCTCAACTATGAAATATTCCTTTATCTATCAGTAATACAATCACTAGCCATACTAAATACAGGAGCACATTAATTATATCAAAACACGTTTTTTATGTTAGAAAATATTCCTTTAGGTATATATACCAATACATACAAATAAAGATCTTATGAACATAAACAGAGATAGCTGTAACGCTACAATAAAACATTATGCTAATACACAAGAGCCTGGAGTTGCTAGAATGACAAGAACTTGGTATGGAACCAGAAAACTATGCAGGTTCAGGAAGACATTAGACACCATGGCGAGAAGCTGTCAGTGCTGAACCTGACGCCTAGGTGACTCACAGATCCTGTACAAATGCTAAAACGTTGTTCAGATGGAGGGCTATTTGTAACAACACTACAATAAATACATTATAACAGTCTTAGCCTGAGATAATGTAACACATGATATTATGTATACAGAACAAAAGCTGTCACGTCAACAAGAATTGTCATTGGGTTGAGGGTTTTATGTTCATGCTTTTACAGGCCTTTTTATTTACATAAATGTATATTTCTTTTATATTTGTAGTATGTCTTTTGAAGACTTTGTTGCACACTTCTTTAAGTTGGTGATCTGCAGCCCTTTACCAGACTTCTTGGATTGGGAATATCAGCCTAAACAATGGTACAGGCAAATGTTCTGGAACACCTGGCCTAAAGGAATCGTAAATAAAAATGGCGACAGGCAAGGTAAGAAGAATAATCAGACCTGCTGTTTAAGCTTAAAGATTCTATATTCTTAAAAATAACTTTTTTTTAAAGATGAACAATATTCCTTTAACTCCAGTTCAGACTTCATATTTTTTAGTTTTGTGGACAGAAATATCAAAGTCACAATATAGTGTGAATTTGTGGCAAAATGGTGATATTCTTCTATACCAACACAGTGGTGTTAATATGCTATACATTTACCATAACCTTGATTTGGCACTTTGGTTACTTGTCCTAGGCGATTGAGATCTAAGGGTCAGGTGTCTATGGGATTTTAGATTATCCATCAGCTGACTATTATACATCAACAAACATATGACAAGGGGTCAGAGCCTAAAGATCAGACAATGATGTAATTAGTATCCTGGTGCAGAGAGTTTTAGAAAACAGTGTTATATTTTTATAATTAACATAATTTTGCATCACATTCCTCTGCTATGAATAACAAGAAAGTATTATGAATATTGACAAAATCATGACTTTACTTATATTAGATTTGATTTTCAAGAATCCACAATATCTGATACAAATAAATGACAGTGATGAGGTGAAGAAAGGGTTCAATGTGGTGATATCGCTCATGCAACATCCTGCAAACCAGAAGAAGTTCCACGGGGAATGGCCAGCAGTAGCATATCAAATTGTACCAGTAAGTCACAAATAAAACTATCGCTATGTCTGTTAAGTCACCAGGTCTTACAGAGTTAGAGTTTCTGATTGGAACCACCTCTTTTAGTTGCAGTTGAGATAGCTACATATTCAGTCCCCATGATCTAAGACAGCGTTCTGCAAACTCTGGCCCTCCGGATGTTGTTGAACTACAGATCCCATGATTCTCTAGCAATCTATTTCATTCAAAGAATCACTAGAGTTGTAGTTCAGCAACATCTTGAGGGCCTGATATTGGAGAATCCTGCTCTAAAAGTCAATGTTCCCTCTCATAATTTCCACCTCAATGGTATACACGATGCATTTTACAGCAAACAGCTCTCACAAAGTTTGTATAAAATGGATAACATTTGCAAATTACTATTCATTCAAAACATGGGAATAAAACTTGTTTCTAACTTTAGAAAATAGAATATGCAGAATTTGAATGTATTTAACTGATGAAATCTCGCAAAAACATAATATTTAGTGATATAACATTTAATATGTGGGTAACAGGTTCATGATCCAAAATCATTTTTTTTTAGTCTGTTGCATAATTGGAAAGATCTTCAAACTGTTTTTTTTTTGTTTGGGATCAACAACAGAAACACGTGAGAAAGGCTAAGCTTGATATAACTATGACCTCTAATTAATGAGCTTTCCAAATAATGTCCAGTAAATTCTATGGAAATACCTGTCGATTAATCATTCAAAAAGTTTTTCTGACAGTACTAAATCATTTGGAAAGTGTATTAAATCGAGGCCTGTGTAAACATAATTCATGTTAAAGTTGTTGTTTTTTAAAAAAAATTCAAAAACATTTTTTATTTATTGCGATAGCAATGATAAACATGAAATTATCATGGATTCCAATTCTATTTTAGTACAATATAAAGAAACAAAGTTTTAGAACCATAAAAGTGTTCTTCAGTTTTATAAAGATTATATTGTACTATAGATAATGTGGTTGTATTACATGCTATGAAATGCTGACTATATTTATATCTTATCGTTACAGGTGGATTCCAAGGTATGGACATTAAGAAGAATGCTGGATGTAAATGGCAAAATAAATACTAAAATTGGAAAATAAAACATAGTAAATAGAGGACAGACTAATATCAGTAAATTAACCAAATTACCTCATAGACAAAAAAACAAATTGTGTACAAAAACTAGCTTGGACTAACTTAGTGACTGGATTCCTTCATGTATCAGCTTAAATGGAAACTTTCATGGGTCAATATCGAGGTACCTTGGCAACTTCTTCTAAATTAAGTTACTAGAGTGCCAGGAGGTTCCTGGCTCTTTGCTTTTTATTCCTTTAAGTGACATTGCCTGGGTGTGCATTGAATATATTATTTATCATATGATCAATGATATATTCAACGTAAGATTTTGATATTACATTACTTACCACATGCGTGGCTTCTGTGAGGGTCACATTACTAAAATAGCCACCTCCAGTCCCATCTGTAGACAGATGCAACCTATGTCTTGTATCTGGTGGAAGCGATATTGAAGGACCCTTACAGGATGCGTTTAGCTTTTTTCATTTAAAATATTTATTGTTTTTGAAAGCAAAATATGGGGAGGGATACAGAAATGACAGAGGGGAAGGGGAGAAATATGCCATCAATTAATAAAATTTCAACACAATTTACAAGATCGAATGTGCATAAACAGTGAATAGATTCACAAGTTCGAGAGACAATAAAATTGTTAGTCACGAATGAGTGCGCAAAGATTTATACATAACATTATCGCAGAGAACCCAGCGTTCAGCAAGGCTTTATCTTGCCATCATGTCCTAAGTGATCATATGGTTCGAATAGAACTGTAAAGTAAAGGATAATAAGTAATAGTAAATTGATTACTCTTATGGTATAGGAAGTTACCCCAAATAACTGAGCGTAGCAATACATGTTATTGGTTAGTCTACCTCCAAAACAAATGCATAGAGTTGGAAAATTCAGCCATCATACCTCTCATTGTGGGTCCGTGTTCCGTGAGTTACTCGGAGAGGCCGGAGAGAGCAAGCTCTCTCATTAGCTGGCCTCCCTGCCATATTCGCAAGCTTTCACTGCAGAGGCTCTCACCATGAAGAATGAGGCACAATCCGCTTTTGCAGTTTTAGATTCTGCTTTTGTGACATAGTGTAGCTCGTCACCAAAATGTAAATAGGTTTTTCTCCCAATTTTTGCTACAGAGTTCTATGCTGAAGAACTTTTTGACAGGGTGAGGCCCTTATTGCTAAATAGACTTTTATCCAAATTTATTTTAGTTCAACTTTTACAGTTCATGTTTGCTTTCATTTTATATTTTTTATATTCTATATGTGCTATAATATTTATATATAAAGTCAATCACTGTTTGGAAGATGTGAATACTTGTTCTTATAAGCACAATGGGTTTTATTTGCTAAATGCTATTTGTTGGCCCGGTTCGTTAGACTCAGTAATTTACCACTTATCACTCTGATAAAAAAGCAAATGATAAACAAAGACACACGTATCTTTGGAATCTTGGAGAACATACCGTTAAGCTGAGAGAGGCAGTCACATTTTTTTTAAAAAGTGACATGGGGTGCATCCATACTGTGAGATTTATAAAGGGGGCAGTGGATACCTTACTCCGCAATGGGTGTTGGGGTGGGAGCAAAATTTACCTGGAAAGAGACAAAAAAAATATTCCCCTTACCACTCGGGTATACCCAGTCCTCTAGTCCAAATATCCACAGTCCCAGTTCGTGCCCAATCCCTTTGGATTTGTTAAAAACAATACTCCTCCTACCCACTCCCCAATATATGAGAACAGGGGATGCAGGATCCCCTGGTTCAATACCGCTACCTCCTGATGTCTAGGGGTCATAATGTTTCCAACCCACCAAACCAACCACCTGCCCCACAAATGTTCAGGAACCATTTTTTACAGCAAGTTATCACAGCATAGTATTTGGTTACATTTTTAATACATGACCATTTTCTTTTTCGAATGAAATAAAATCACTGGTTCTTCAAATTGTAATATCCACTTGCTAGCAGGCTTTTAATATTATAAAGCTTATCTCTATAATTTAAAGGGACACTTTAGTCACCAGAACGACTACAGCTTAATGTAGTTGTTCTGGTGAGTATAATCATTGCCTTCAGGCATTTTCATGCAATAACTGCTTCTTCAGAGCAAAGGCAGTGTTTACATTGCCCCCTAGGGACACCTCCAAGTGGCCACTGGAGGTGCTTCCTGGCTCAGTGCTGCACAGTAGGCAGCTCTGCCGTTGACGCTGGATTTTCCTCATAGAGAAGCATTGATTCAATGTATCTCTATGAGGAGGTGCTGATTGTCCAAACCTGTGTTTGGCCCCGCCCCCTTACCGATTTTAGACAATCCCATGCTTTCCCCATGATGTCACCAAGGGGGCGGGGCCCATGCCGGCGGACCCACATGGCGCTGGAAATAAGGTGAGTTTTTCATACTTATAAGTGGGGTAAAGGGGGGGAGGGGCAAGCCACCTTAAAGGTGGGTTTTGCACTATAGGGCCAGGAATACATGTTTGTGTTCTTGACCCTATAGTGTTCCTTTAATGCTGATTTGTTATATTCTTTTATAAAAAGTGTGACTTGTATACTATTTTCACAGTTTTATAATTCAAAAGAAAAACTGCAGAGTTCTCAGATTCATAATCAGTTTGCTTCAAGATTGGAGTTGGACAAGCCTACTTACAATAGACGTGATCTAACATCGAAATTCAGATTGAAGCCGGGGACATATTTAATTTATCCATTTGTTGAGAAGACACAATTGGAATTCTCGTTCCTTCTGCAAATATTCCTGAAAAGCCAAGACTGCATAATGTAAATATCTTGATAATTTTAAATTTTTCCTTTTACACATTGTCCAATGACGTATAACATAATCACGCAAAATAGTATATACACACAGGGATTTTATATACAATGTAAGCCTGTTTCCTCTGAATATTATATAAGGATGGAGTTTTTTGCAGCAGATGAAAATCATGTCTACCCATCTATTCTACCATTTTAAACCAGTTCCAAAAACTTAAATATTATTTGGACACTGACTTTGTCATTTGATACGATGTCTTGTTCTATTGCCTCCACCTGGACGCAGCCCCAGGGACCAAACCTGAATAGTCCCGACAAAGCATGCTTACTCTGATCACTTTCACTCTTGCACCGTCCAGCCCAGGTAGTGGGGATATTAAATGCAGGTGGGACTATAAAGGGGGCTTTGGCACAAATGGGGATAAATGGTTAATTGGGGTTAGGACTAACATGAGCTCTGGTTAGGTTGGTCTATAGTTAACAAAGATTAGGATTATGGCTAGTTAGGGTGATGGTTAGGATTAGCTGGTTAGGGTAATTTAGGGATTAGTTAGCTGGGATTAGTTAGTTAAGTTTAGCTAGGGTATGGTTTAGATAGAGTTAGCAAGCCTAGGCTAAGAGTATGGTTAAATATGGTGAGAATTATCATCAAAGTTTCAGAAAGGTGGCCAGGATGGTGATACAGTCATTTCACCAAGAGGGGTCTCTGTGAAGATAGCACAGGGCATGTCAAAACTGGGACATGGCTGTAATTTTACCTTTGAAATTATTAAAAAAAACAATCTGTCAAAGGTATACATGTAGGGTATTGCTGTACTTTGGAGTTACAGCCGAATACAAACCTGGGGATATTGAAATAGGATAGACAAGGCCTTTCAAATCAATATGATTTTTTATTTATTTTTTTAAATAGTGCTAAATTGTTCACAGATTGGTGACTGAAATGCCCCATAATGAAGGGAAAGTTCTTGTTTTTTTCTGGCAAATGGCACGCCATGATGGAGGTAAAGAGCAGCTGGGTGGCTCTATAAGTCCAAAAGTAGATGAAATTCTAGACATATGACTATTGTTTAGCAGCACTAGTTGTTTAGAAATTATTGTAAGGAAAATAGTAAATATTTATCAAATTTTTCTCATTTTTTTTTAAAACAAAATATTATTGATTGTTTATTTTGTGCTCTATAATAGCATATCAGAAGAAAGCTCTATGTCTCATTTGACAAATCAGAATAAATATAAATGGAAGGACTTAATGAGAAAGGTGGAAATTATGGTAAAAGAAATGCCTAGAAAAGTGCTAAAAATGTGTTAAACACGATTGTGTGGCATGGCAGAACGTCGGTCACTAAAGCATTAAAAAAGGGTAAAACAAAGAAAATTATGATCTGAAAGTAATTTAAACTTCTTAATTTCCTTAAAATGAAAACCCTTTAGTTTAGCGGTTGAGACATTTTTTTAGGAAAAACTGATGATTTTTTTTAAATTCACATACTAGACACAGTTTTATTTATATTTCCTATAACAAATATACCAGGTAATTCCATTTTGAAAAAAGAAAATTGGAAAATCTCCTGCGTTGATTGTAGTGGCCTGAATTTTGAAATGTGGTCGTCGGTTTCATAGATGACAATTCTCATTAAAACACAATATTTCTTCAAAAATGGTTAATCCCGCTTCCTCCCATTGATCGTGTTTTCTCTCTCTCTTCTGTTCCGTAGTCAGCTGGGTACTCAGGAGAGCGCCAAGGTTTATAATTCCAGACCATTACAAGCTAATTACTTGGTAATTATAATATCCTGCTGGCATTCACAATGCTAAATAAAGCAATTATATTTTATTTGCTGTACTGTATAAATGATAAATCATACATTATCAAGTAACGTTCAGCTGCAACATTTAAAGAATTGGTAAAGTCATTAGTTTCAAACAGTGACAGTCGTAGGTTGTCACAGCTTTTAGTGAAATTAAAATAAACAGAAGTTTAATTAGAGTCAGGGAGGGTCACCTTAGCTAAACTATTATTGTGTAAACCTAGCTAACAAGCTATTAAAAAGGGAAAGATTTTATTGAACTACAATACAAAATAAAATCTGTATTCAGCGTTAGTGGTTTAATATAAGATGTATCGTACTGGGTTGTGAGCTCCAAATTTGCAAAATGTGGATATAATAGCTGAATTTAATAAAAATAAGTAGTTTTTAAAGTGTACTTTTGGCAATGTAGCTGCAAATCCAGGTATTGGCATTAAACAGGATGCAATTCATAGCAATTTGCAGCTAATTTGGCTTTACATTTTTAGTAAATATCAATGTACACGAATTTGGACATTTAACAAACACAAAATGGAATCTGATTTGCCACTAAATGTATCAGTTCAGGGATTCCAGCTGCACTGAAATAAATAATAAGACTTTGGCCCCATAGTCTACCAGGCAGCACAATGCAAAGTAAATAAAAGGGGCTTCTAGGAGTCGCTAATTTTCTGGAGGGAACATCCCCCCATTTCCTTAAGGTGCAGGAGTAAAGAGATTAATAAAATATGTTGCCAAATGGAATCTCAGGTAACGCCCATACCTTAATGTCTCTCTCATTGCAAGACACAGAGTGAAAGTGTTAATAATACCAGGTCGGAAGACATGCACATCTCCTTCTAATATTCCCCATTCCAATATATTGGTTTGGTTGATTATTTTCTGGACCCTCAACAACCAGGAGAACTTATTAAATGTCCCTTATCTCAGAAAACAAATGTACAAAATTCAAAGGGTTAATGCCTATCCCATTGATTAATGTGCTGTTTACCCTTTCAGGTCCAAAAAGCTTTTGAGATACCCTTATCCTCACATTCTGAAAACATGGAGAATCAGTGGTGACAACCCACTGGAATTAAGGTGTCACCTCTGCCTCCCCAGGCACTGTGCCAAGGGATGCCCTCTCTACCTGGCACCAGTAGTACGGACCCCTAAAGCACATCCATTGCAGGCTTCATTTAAAATGTATGACATAACCAGGAGCCAAAGCTGGATTAAACTACATCTGGGATTAGATTCATATCATGACCAAGTAGCCATCAACCTACAGAAGAGTAATCACAGAGAAATACTCACAACTTTATTATATATTTGAAGATAAAAAAAACTGTAATCTGATCTTCGTTTCACTTTTCAAATATTTTCCTCATTAAATGTAAAATAATGTATTGTGGTTAAAATATCTTACTAAGGTTTCCTTTGCAGAGGTTTGATGAACAGCAACTATTCAGAACATTTGCTTCTCAGGTAAGCCTTGACCTGTCCATTTATCTATCACTCCTCAGTCAGAGATGCCTGTTTAGTAAATAATAGGTTATTCTCCATGGTACAAATTGTTAGTAATTCGATGTGAATTTAAAATTTTAGGTCAAAATGATCAGTTTGGAAAAATTTGAATTGAGATATTTGGGTTAAACTCACTTTTAATTATTGACACTTCCTGACACTTAATTGAATAACCCTGTTTGAATTAAAGTGGAACTGTCACTGTTTGGGGACTTTGTATAATTTGCAAAAAAAAAACAAGAGTGACATTACTGCTGGGGACCTGGTGGCCAGGGGAGGGCAGGGAAAAGTGAGTTTAACTTACCTGAGCCTGTCCCTCTTGGGTATCACCATCCTCTTTTGGCCAGTTTTCTTCTTGAGTAAGACCCAGCTCAGAGCTGAAGGATATGCAACTATCACATGTCATAGAACCCCAATGTTCATTCTCAATGTCTCACACTAGACAGCCTTGCCACTGTGCCCACAAAATGTGCCATTAGCTAGATTTACCCAGCAAGTGTGCAATAGCAAGCACATCTCACAATGCAAAGCAACAGTGACACTTTGTTATAGTGAGCAAAACAGCCGCAAGTTTGATGCAAATTCACTGAAAAACACTTCCAGGTTTCTCATCAAACATCCGCACATGAGAACATAAAACCCTAAATTTCATGTAAATTCCATGTGGACAAATGACTCATCAAATATCAAATGTAAAGCACAGACTTAAAAATGTACGGGAAATTCAAGGATTTCCTGAATTTGCAATTTAAAAACAAATGCTCAATCAGTCTATGTTCATTTTTTTCTACACATGATAAATAGGGCTTTGATTGTCTTTATTATCTTTAATGACAAAATGTGTTAAATTGTGTTTAAAACTGAAATGCTCCAGTCCAAATGCAATTATTTGTCTGCTCTGCTAACAGTGATTATTTAACCGTACGAGTATAGCAATATTATATATATATGGTTTTACATTTATTTTCATTACAAAACAAAGAAAAATAAAATTTAGCTTCAAAGCCACATTTTCCATTATTTTTGCCATATCCCCTCCTCCCATACAGTATTCAAGTCTGAATTAGAAACGTTTACTATTCATGTATAGCAGTCAGGGACGTTGGAATTGAGAGAGAGATCAATATAATTGAATATAGATTAATTGTATGGTGTAATAGTATCTTAGAAATATCTTCGTAGTAAAATATTGTAGTTTACGATATTATTTAACATGGCCGTTATGTCCACATACAATATTTTTACGTTCTGCCAGCATTTTATGAAGTTGCATTTCTACAAATGTCATAAAGTTCCTTACCGAACAACGTGGATTATTATTTATATGTATATGAGGAAAAATATATTTATTTATTTGTATATGTTAATATGATTTACCTTGTTTCAGACAAGGGAATAAAGGGATACTTATGTTAAGGATAAAACAATACTTAAAAAATAAATTGTGTTTATTTACATAAGTTACATTTTATGTTCCTCAGAACAGCAATCTAGACATAAAATTGATGTTTTATTCTACATTTGTGTTCTACATTTACATTCTCATTTCAAATAAAAGTTATGTTGATACTTTTTAAAACAAAAGTGCTTGGTAGTAAAAGGATAACAAATGCATACTTTATGTATTTTGAAACTAGTGTAGAAATTAAACAAGCCTGTTCGAATACGTGATATTTCTTTATAAAGTAACTACAGGATTGTGCATTGCTACTTTACATGTGCACCCCCTGGTGGTAAGATAGAGGAGCGGGCGGACTCACAGGCACACGTATCATGGTGTTGGGTCCGGGCTAGACCATTTTTCTCAATTTAGTATAAAATATGCATTTTTACCATAACCAGCCATTTCTGATTAATATCTTCAAAAATTTTAGCAGTAAGAATGCAATACATTAACACAGCGGTAGACAACCTTTGGGACACCAGATGTCTCGGACTATAACTTCTTTGATTCTTTGCCAGCATTATAGCTCTACGAGCATTACGGGGGATGTAGTTCCCAACATCTGGAGTGTCGAAGGTTGCCTACCTCTGTTTTACCATATATAACCATTTGCTCGTATTTATTATAGTTTATGTGTAGCTAGATTTTTGTTTTCCAGAGAAAGGAATTAAAAACATGGAGGGAGATGGGAAAGAAAAAATATACCAAATGGACAAGGGATTAGAAGAAATTGGATGTCATAGGAAATATATGGAGATTATAAAAAAGGGTAAACAAATAAATGGAAGGTTATTGTAAGTAGTAAAGGATTTGTAAACAATAAGATAAAACAAAATAATTAGAGAAACAAAGATTATTAACTCAACAGAATGTATGAGATCATTGTCATGGGTGTTGATTAATGTGGGAATTGTCAAAGTTTCAAAGTGAATTTCACATTTTAGATAAAAAAATATTTAAACTGAAAAAGCGTTTTGTATCCAGCTATATTGGTCTAAAATTTGAACTATACTTTGAATTGCTGGCAACTTACAGTTTGAGGATTAGCCTTATAAGAATTGTCAGAGACTGAATTTTACCACTAGTAAAGGAAACTATGAAGTTTGCATATAAGACTGACCTCTCTGACAAAGTCCAGAAACACACTGCAGGCAGGTCCCACTTCACTAGGTGGAGGTCGAACGGGTGACTAAAAGTTAAACAAAGTTGAGTGTAGCACTCACAGAGTGGGGGGAAATTAAAGTGAGATCTATTTTTGTGCATTGAGTATATTTCATCCTTTTTGAGTTTAATCTGCATAAAATAAAATCTGTAAAAGACAACATTTATTGATTGCTGTTCTCTTGGCTGATTTGTTATCTATCAGGAAAACAGAATGAACGTCCAGGATTTGCAAAGATTTCTCAATGAAGTGATACTGAAAGGTAGGATTTACTTTGCATCAATAAACGTAAAACAAAAATATCAATAAATCATTGTGTTACAAAAAGTCTCGAAGTCCATAGCCACATAGCTGACATATTAAATATATAATCGTAAACACTAGGTAAATACATATAGGGTTTTTTTCATTGATCTAGAGCTCTCTGATTAGTGAATAAATCCATCTAAATTCATTACTTATGGTGTGTTTATATGGATGGGTCACTTGCAAAAAATAAATAAATTATTAAATGTTCTGTAGATTGCATTAAAATATTTTAAAATGAACCACCACCAGTCGCTTGAGATGGAGACATATAAGATTCTTCCTTGTTTAATTAAAGATATATTATGGTTTTCTCCTTCTCAAAGTCGACGCGTGGTGGACATGTATCCTTCCACCAAAATTACTATTAATACATGGAACATTTTATATAGAAAAATTCAACCCTTTGTATTTGGGATTACAATGCACATATCCTGATTTAAACATTAACTATCGGTCTTCGCATTCTATTACCCACATTAATGATTTTTTTTCTTCATCAAAAATGTTTTAAAATTTTGACCAATTAAAAAAAAAAGTGACTTTTTAGATGCCACTACACATGAGACATTGATATCAATAGTTAGTGACCATTTTAAACAAAGAAAATTAGAAATGACAAATTTAGAAAAGGTTTATCCTTCGGATCCTCATCGGAAACGCATCATTTCCAAGTTGGACAAATGCTGAAGTGGGAGAATGAAGTAGGTGGGGCATATACAACAGAAGAATGTCATCATTTTTTATTAAAATGTATCACACATTGTACTAGTCATGTTAAAAATCATCACAAAATAATATTTAGGTGGTATCTAACCCAGTCAAGATTCTTCAAATTAAATCTTGCCACCACTAACACAGTGGAGAAAATGAGGACAGGTGGGAACACTTTTATTACTGAATTCCATGTAAATTTAACACCAGAATTGTGCTTATTCAAAAAAATCCCTGAAAATGTATCTAATGGTAAAAAAAAAATCATACTAGGCCACCTAATATCTGGCATTTCTGTAATTTCCTGACACTGGAAGTCACCATTCATCCCATCAATGAGAGAAGTTATTCAATCAGTATTTGGAAACATAAGATGTGAAGTAGCTCTTCGTGCTCCATCAAATACAACAAACAATTTAAGATATAAATGGATATTGTGGGAAGGAGACAAAAAAACTATAAACTGTGTTGTTAATTTCTACTCAATCGAACATTTATTAAAAATAAACTATTTTCTTTCAAATTAATCATACACTATATTGTTCTATATTATATAAATGTGTATACAAATATATACATTAATTTTATTCCTTATTTGTAAATGAAAACATACTATGAAATGTAAACTTACATTTAAATTTCCCGTTTTGTTTTATCACTATTGTCCATTGTATGATACGATTGTTATATTGTACTTTCATTGTCATTGAAAAATTATTATCAATAAAAAAATAGTTGAACAGATATTTTAAATGAGCTGTGACTAGATGTGAGATAGGAAGGGATCTGAACACATAGGAATGAGTATTTACTGGTGACATGGTATCAATACACTGCTGCTTTTAAAAAAAATGCAGCTTAGCCCATCAAGCCTATCTCACAATCCTCTTTTTTTCTGGTAATTGTTTAATCCCTTAAGGACGGCGGGCCTTTTATGGCGTCCTTAAGGGGCTGGTCCAAGATGCCGGCGGGCGGCATAAAATGTCTCCGTTATCCTTTATAATTACCTTGCTGATACCCCGCGGATCCCTCGTCGGCGGTAGTAATCCTGGGGACTGCCTGACAGCTCCGGCAGTTCCCCTCTGGCACATTTGGCACTGCTGGGCAATGTGATTGTGGGGTCCTCACGATCACATGGCCGAAATGGCTGTCTGCAGCTCTGTCTGCAAGGAAACTCCCTGGAATGTCAGGCAGTCCCCCTAATGCCTGTAAGAAAGTTTTATAAAGTAAAGTTTAATAAAAGTTTATTAATTCAATAAAACATACTTAGATCATGTATATAGTTATATATATTAATATTAAAATACACTTAGAATGATGTTCATTATACATATATATAAAATAAAAATAATCAATAAATTTAATAATGAAAAAAATAACATTTAAAAAATGTGTAATTATATATATATATGTGTGTAATTTTGTTCTAACTGTATTTTGATATGTTTATATATAGACGTCAAAATACATTTAGAATGAAGCTGTATATATATATATATATGTGTATATATGTATAGAGATAGCAGCTTGCAGTGTCTTCTATTATAAAGTTACTTAGTGCACTCTTTCTGCTGAGAGGGGACTTATCACCTGGGAATTGGAAGAGTTGAACAAGCCAGCACTGCACAGGTTAGATTGCAACCATTTGTTGATTGACAGGTGGCCTGTGGCTTTACTACTCCCAGAATGCAGTTTGAGGACATACCCAGCCTACCAGACAGTAATGAATATCTGTGCTTCTCCAATGGTGCTTATCCAATCAACACCAAGACCTTCCTTGGTGGCAGTGGAGTCATAGCGAAAAGAGTTTGTGCCTCCTCAGTCATGCATAGATCCCTTGGAAAGATCCTTCCTGTAATGCAGGTCCAGATCCATTCTTATGTCCCTTATGCCTGCTGTGAGACAAACAGGATTATTTACTAAAGTGAATTTTGGCAAAATTAAGGCCAGAGTAGCCAAACGTAAAGCTTTGTATTTTCACCTTAGTAAATATCCATCAACGTGTATTTCTCTCGTTACCTGAAATGTTTCAATATTGCACCTTCCATACAGTCTCTAAAATGTTTACCCCCTTAATAATCCAATAAAGCAGTGGTTCCCAATCCAGTCCTCAAGGCACGACTACCAGTCCAGGATTTAAGGATTACCCAGTTGAGTCTAAGGTGTTTAAAGAAAAAAAAACACCTTAGACACAACTGGGTAATCCCTAAATCCTGGACTAGTAGGGTACCTTGGGGTCTGGTTTGGGAACCACTGCAAAGGATTTTAAAAAAAATTAAAAATGTTTTATTCATTTAAAATTATGGAATTGACATTTTTAGTTATGCCCAAAGAGCAGTCCGTACCCGAAATAAACATGCTATTTACCCCTTGTTTCAAATGAATGAGTCAAAACAAAACGGTTATTGGAGCAATCCATAAGCTGATAGATGCCACGGCTATAACACAATATAAAACATTTTGTATCAAAATTAGCTTCACAGACTTCTAACGGTACATAAATGAACATATTTATATTTCTTTGTAGATTTCCCTTGCAAATCCGGCTTTATGAAAGACTCCAGTCGATTAATACTGAAATCCATGGATGTATCCTATCAAACACAAAGTCATAGCAGCAAATATTTTTTAAATAACTAAAATTGCTCACATGCTCAAATCACTTCTTCATATTACAGTATACAATGTTTAATTTAGAGACATAGGGTTTATATTGGTGGGCGGTTGCAAAAGGGAACTGGTATCACTGAATAGTTATGGCATTTTGCCATTTAGTGGCTAATATAACTCTATTGCAATGCAAGTCTTAAACATACACCACGTGAAATCACAAAGTCCCACAGAAAAGCTCAATTGGAAAAACTCTCCAAGTCAGCTTTATATAATTACATTAATTTAAAATCACAACAATTCACACTTTTGTGAGTTATCTACAGATCTAAGAAATAAGTATTGAAATGTACCTGATCTAAGAAATACCTACCCAACTGAATAAAATGTTATAACCCTTCTCCAGGATCCAGAGAATGTTCAGTAATGACAGTTAGCCTTGATCTAACAAAGTAACTGGTGGAACACATGCAGGGCCAGATTAAGAGCCCAGTGGGCCTGGTGCTGACCATTATGATGGGGCCTAATTACAATTATTAGTGTCTCAGTGTCCCCATGTCTCCCTGCTGCCTTTCTCCCCATCCCTCACTTACCTGAACTGTAGTCTGTCTCTGCAGGCTGGGAGCTGCTGTCTGGACTCTCTGTGCTGTGTAGCTGCTCCCCCGCGGATCAGTGAGTAGAGAGAGACAGGTAGATGCTGTAACTTCCTATCCCTGCATCTCTCCATACACCGTGACCCCTACTGGCCGGTGCTGAAATTGCAGAGTAATCTCCGTTTATACTGCGAAAAATATCTGCATTTGTATTGCTGGTCTTACTGCAATACCGCCACGGCCAGACAGCCTCAAATACTAGCTGTGCCATAAAATACCAGTCAGGTGGCAAACCTAAGAGTAGTGTTTTTTTGTTTTTTTTTTAAATAGGCCTATTCCATAGGCCTGGGCCTGGAGCTGCAGCTCCATCAGCCCCTATGTTAATCTGGCCCTGTTCACATGTGATCTAATGAATACTTACCACACTGAATACAATTTGTAGCGCATTGTTGTTTATGGTGGCAACCAGCTCTTTAAAAGACTTCCTCTAAAATACTTAATAACTGTGGATCTAAAGAAATAATTAGACAATTATATATGGCCTAACAAATTCCTACCAGCATGAATGAAATTGTGTTCATGTTTTTGTGGAGGTGTGCTAATCCGTCCTCAACCCCACCTCCCCCATTCTGATTGTTAATAGCACATCTTGATTGATCTACCCTGATCTAATGAATATCCAGTTATGATCCCCCATGACATAGGTAATGTTTTTGAAACTAGATTAAATATATTGACACAACAAGCACTTCATACATGATCTAATGATTAGCTTCCAAACAGAACCAATTTGTTTGTCTAAATTTCTGTAGAGGGATAGTTGTTTTAGGTTTACTACCCTCAAAACCATTGCTAATATGCCCATTACATATTATATCTAGCAAAAAAAAAAATGTTATTAAGTGTTCTTGCATAGCAAGACCACTTAATGTTATCTCACATATATATTATTAAGTGTTCTTGCATAGCAAGACCACTTAATGTTATCTCACATATATATATTATTAAGTGTTCTTGCATAGCAAGACCACTTAATGTTATCTCACATATATATTATTATTATTATTATTATAGCAAAATTTGCCACCCTAACTCCTCCCACAGTTTTTACACTACATAGACAAAAAGTTACCAAAACGTGCAGATTGTTCCCGATCGGATTGCTATTACTTTGTGGAACGTTTCGCCGAATGGTTCACGGAATATCGTCGTTTTTGTGGCGCAATTTGTCCCATAGGAATGAATGGCAAAGCTAGAGTGGGAGTTGCCAAAAGCTGAAAAATCAGGACATGATTTCTAAACTGCCACCACTCCCTTATTTTCAGGCCCACCTACACAAATCTTATATCAAAACGTTCAGCTATCCCTGCTGCCACTAAACATGTCAACGGCTAAGCCGTAGTCCTGATAGTTTTCACAATATGACCATTTGTTTGCAACTAACGCCGTCCATTGACATTCATTGAAACTTCACTCTGCAAAGCTCAAATTTGAAGTGCAATTTCTAAACTGCGACTGTGCCTTCAATTTTAATACTTCAGAGACATACTATGCATCAAAATGTAGGTCTGGGTCTTGTGATTCTCACAATATAAAGCTCTTCGCTGTAGGATTTATAGTTTTTAAAATACGACCGTTTGAAGATGGCAACCGCCAAAATACTCTGACCTGTGTCAGGCTGCAGCAGCAAGTGATGTCATAGACAGGGCCTTTTGAACACCTGCTAATGTTTTTATAAATGTATGGTTTAATGTAACTGTGCAACAACGTTGCAATTAAATGTGCTAGACTACTGGTGGAGGCAAGAATCACTTCACACAATTTCCCCAGAAATTGTAGCTTTTCTAGTTATTATTATTCTTATTCTTATTCTTATTATAGCAAAATTTGCCACCCTAACTCCTCCCACAGTTTTTACACTACATAGACAAAAATTTACCAAAACGTGCAGATTGTTCCCGATCGGATTGCTATTACTTTGTGGAACGTTTCGCCGAATGGTTCACGGAATATCGTCGTTCTTGTGGCGAAATTTGTCCCATAGGAATGAATGGCAAAGCTAGAGTGGGAGCTGGCAAAAGCTGAAAAATCAGGACATGATTTCTAAACTGCCACCACTCCCTTATTTCAGGCCCACCTACACAAATCTTATATCAAAACGTTCAGCTATCCCTGCTGCCACTAAACATGTCAACGGCTAAGCCGTAGTCCTGATAGTTTTCACAATATGACCATTTGTTTGCAACCAACGCCGTCCATTGACATTCATTGAAACCTCACTCTGCAAAGCTCAAATTTGAAGTGCAATTTCTAAACTGCGACTGTGCCTTCAATTTTAATACTTCAGAGACATACTTTGCATCAAAATGTAGGTCTGGGTCTTGTGATTCTCACAATATAAAGCTCTTCACTGTAGGAGTTATAGTTTTTAAGATACGACTGTTTGAAGATGGCAACCACCAAAATACTCTGACCTGTGTCAAGGCTGCAGCAGCAAGTGATGTCATAGACAGGGCCTTTTGAACACCTGCTAATGTTTTTATAAATGTATGGTTTAATGTAACTGTGCAACAACGTTGCAATTGAATGTGCTAGACTACTGGTTGAGGCAAGAACACTTCACACAATTTCCCCAGAAATTGTAGCTTTTCTAGTTAAGTGTTCTTGCATAGCAAGACCACTTAATGTTATCTCACATATATATTATTATTATTATTATTATTCTTATTATAGCAAAATTTGCCACCCTAACTCCTCCCACAGTTTTTACACTACATAGACAAAAATTTACCAAAAGCGTGCAGATTGTTCCCGATCGGATTGCTATTACTTTGTGGAACGTTTCGCCGAATGGTTCACGGAATATCGTCGTTCTTGTGGCGAAATTTGTCCCATAGGAATGAATGGCAAAGCTAGAGTGGGAGCTGGCAAAAGCTGAAAAATCAGGACATGATTTCTAAACTGCCACCACTCCCTTATTTTCAGGCCCACCTACACAAATCTTATATCAAAACGTTCAGCTATCCCTGCTGCCACTAAACATGTCAACGGCTAAGCCATAGTCCTGATAGTTTTCACAATATAATCATTTGTTTGCAACTAACAACATCCATTGACATTCATTGAAACTTCACTCTGCAAAGCTCAAATTTGAAGTGCAATTTCTAAACTGCGATTGTGCCTTCAATATTAATACTTCAGAGACATACTATGCATCAAAATGTAGGTCTGGGTCTTGTGATTCTCACAATATAAAGCTCTTCACTGTAGGAGTTATAGTTTTTAAGATACGACCGTTTGAAGATGGCAACCACCAAAATACTCTGACCTGTGTCAAGCTGCAGCAGCAAGTGATGTCATAGACAGGGCCTTTTGAACACCTGCTAATGTTTTTATAAATGTATGGTTTAATGTAAATGTGCAACAACGTTGCAATTAAATGTGCTATATAAATGATAACATTTACTCCGCACACTCCAGTTGTAGACTACTGGTGGAGGCAAGAACACTTCACACAATTTCCCAAGAAATTGTAGCTTTTCTAGTTATTATTATTATTATTATAGCAAAATTTGCCACCCTAACTCCTCCCACAGTTTTTACACTACATAGACAAAAATTTACCAAAACGTGCAGATTGTTCCCGATCGGATTGCTATTACTTTGTGGAACGTTTCGCCGAATGGTTCACGGAATATCGTCGTTCTTGTGGCGAAATTTGTCCCATAGGAATGAATGGCAAAGCTAGAGTGGGAGCTGGCAAAAGCTGAAAAATCAGGACATGATTTCTAAACTGCCACCACTCCCTTATTTTCAGGCCCACCTACACAAATCTTATATCAAAACGTTCAGCTATCCCTGCTGCCACTAGAAATGTCCACGGCTAAGCCATAGTCCTGATAGATTCCACAATATGACCATTTGTTTGCAACTCACGCCTTCCATTGACATTCATTGAAACTTCACTCAAGCCAGCTCAAACTTGAAGGGCAATTTCTAAACTGCGACTGTGCCTTCAATTTTAATACTTCAGAGACATACTATGCATCAAGATGTAGGTCTGGGTCTTGTGATTCTCACAATATAAAGCTCTTCACTGTAGGTGTTATAGTTTTTAAGATACGACCATTTGAAGATGTCAACCACCAAAATACTCTGACCTGTGTCAAGCTGCAGCAGCAAGTGATGTCATAGACAGGGCCTTTTGAACACCTGCTAATGTTTTTATAAATGTATGGTTTAATGTAACTGTGCAACAACGTTGCAATTAAATGTGCTATGTAAATGATAACAGTTACTCCGCCCACTCCAGTTGTAGTCTACAGATGGAGGCAAGAACACTTCACACAATTTCCCCAGAAATTGTAACTTTTCTAGTTCTTATTCTTATTATAGCAAAATTTGCCACCCTAACTCCTCCCACAGTTTTTACACTACATAGACAAAAATTTACCAAAGCGTGCAGATTGTTCCCGATCGGATTGCTATTACTTTGTGGAACTTTGTGGAACGTTTCGCCGAATGGTTCACGGAATATCGTCGTTCTTATGGCGAAATTTGTCCCATAGGAATGAATGGCAAAGCTAGAGTGGGAGCTGGCAAAAGCTGAAAAATCAGGACATGATTTCTAAACTGCCACCACTCCCTTATTTTCAGGCCCACCTACAAATCTTATATCAAAACGTTCAGCTATCCCTGCTGCCACTAAACATGTCAACGGCTAAGCCATAGTCCTGATAGTTTTCACAATATAATCATTTGTTTGCAACTAACGCCGTCCATTGACTTTCATTGAAACTTCACTCTGCAAAGCTCACATTTGAAGTGCAATTTCTAAACTGCGACTGTGCCTTCAATTTTAATACTTCAGAGACATACTATGCATCAAAATGTAGGTCTGGGTCTTGTGATTCTCACAATATAAAGCTCTTCGCTGTAGGATTTATAGTTTTTAAAATATGACCGTTTGAAGATGGCAGCCACCAAAATACTCTGACCTGTCAAGGCTGCAGCAGCAAGTGATGTCATAGACAGGGCCTTTTGAACACCTGCTAATGTTTTTTATAAATGTATGGTTTAATGTAACTGTGCAACAACGTTGCAATTAAATGTGCTATATAAATGATAACAGTTACTCCGCCCACTCCAGTTGTAGACTACTGGTGGAGGCAAGAACACTTCACACAATTTCCCCAGAAATTGTAGCTTTTCTAGTTATATTTGATCTAACACATTTAATTAGGTGAATGATTTCATTCTTAATTGGGGTTGCGGGAAGGTAACAAAGCTGAGATGATTTGAAAGGGAACTAAAACATGTTGAGAAAATAAACTCAAAATGTCTGTCTGTTATATACATTCTATTACTATTAATAAAATACAGATGAGGTCTGGGAGATTACCTCTCCTCTTCCTCCACCCTGTGTGTCGAGGGATGGAATGGAGATTTAACTTTTAAGGGGCTTTGCTAATGGCTCCTATCTCCGCCCTGTGTGCAGTGTGGTGGAGAATAATGCAATAACAGTTGTAAAGCAGTACCATCTCTAAAATAAGGGATGCTAAGGCTTCTCGGACAAGGGCTGCCAAATCCATTTTGCCCTGATAAAATTAGAATTTCCCAACTATAAAGTGACCACACTTCCCATGATGGCTTGGTCATCCCCAAACTCATTCTGGGACAATATACAGCCCATAGTCATAAATACCTATTAAATGGTTTGCAGTATAAAAATATCTGTAAATGTTAATAAAAACATGAGTAGCAGTGGCGAGTATTTCTCCTTTTTCTTTTAAAATTGGAAATAGTTTTAATTTTTTTCATCAACGAGATCAACATTGATATGTTACGATGCTTCTGCAAGTGAATTTCAAAGCATGTGTTTTGTTTAAATCAATCATTCAAGAATAACCCACATTATAAAAATAACTACAAAATAAAGTAGATTAATAATATGTATGTCTATAATTAGGTGATGAGCAAAATCCTTATAATGCTTAGAATGAAAAAGCATGGATTTTAAGACATTATTTATTTTTACTTTTTGGATTCCTGACTTCTGAAAATATTCACAGTAGAGTGTACGCACGTTCATAGTGTCAATACACTGTGTTGTTCTAAATTTTACATTAAAAACAAGGTTGGAATTTTTATTATGAAACTAAATTCAGTGAGTATAATTCACGTTATTTTGTAATGTTTCCTTCTTTAATTCTTTAAACCCAATTTTAACTTAACTGAGTGAGCAGCATTCTGGAGCCGGGAGTCTTGACGCTAATCAATTTTCTCGATTATGGCGCTATCTGAAGAGGTTTAAGGTAACAAGCAATGTTTTGTGTTTTTGTCTTGATATGGTGATATGGTTGCGTTATGTTTTTATTTACAATGTGTTGTATTAATGGTCTGGACTTTAATTAATTATTAATACTCACTCTACAAAATATTTGTTTTTAAGGATATTTTTTTTGACATTGACACGAATCAGTGTGGTTCTCTTAATTCATACGAATTTCGAAAGGCAGTGGAAATTGCAGGTATGTGTTATCATGAATAAAAAAAAAAGTGCCTGTATCCCAACATTTCAAACAGACAAAGAGGGACACTTTAATTTTAGGTGTATGAGTGGGGCATGGTTAGGGGGTGGCCACTGGTGGTGCTGTCCTTGGAAATTTAAAGTGACTTATTAATAATAATTTATACAACTAAATGTAATTTAGAGCAATAATGTAGCAGTAACAGTAATTTATACAGACTGAATGTTTTCACATTGTTCGTAGTATAAGTAATATTCTTTTTTATATGTATAAAGATATCAATTTATTTATGCGTACAATTATATGTATAATTATGAAAACCAATATAGAATGAAATACCAAAAAATTTAATTTAGAACAAGAACAATGTATCTTATTTACACAGACTGATTTCTAAACACATTTATTGTAGTTTAAAGACACATTACTGGGAGTATTATTGTTGTGAAGCTCTGTTAAGCATTCAGACACACCACCAATATAGAGCTCCTAAAAAAGAGGGACAGATGGACTGTCGCTCTAAAATAGGGACACTTGGAAAGTATGTAAGTGTAGCTGATGTACCTGTAGGCACTGTGCCCAAGGTTTCCACATCTGGATTACACTTTTTACTTTTAGCCAGATTCATTAAAAAAAATAAACAAACAGAAGGTATGAAAATACTAACATGCAAAAACCTAAAGGAACACTATAGGGTCAGTAACACAAGTATGTATTCTGACTCTATAGCATTAAAAACACCATCTAGGCCCCCTGCTCTCCTGCCCCTCTAATTATATTAAAATCTTAACTTTATTCCAGTCTGCTGCTGACTCTGCCACTGATCTGCCTGCTTGGCTGACATCATCTGAAGTGGTAAACTTAGCAAATCACAATGCTTTTACATAGGAAAGCATTGGATTGGCTGAGATTGTCAAGGAGGCAGATCAGGGGAAGAGTAAGCACAAGTTAAAGACAACCCTGGCCAATCAGCATCTCCTCACAGAGATACATTGAATCAATGTATCTCTATAATGAAAGTTCAGTGCCTCCATGCAGAGGGTGGAGACAGTGAATGTCAGTCACACTGTGCAGCACTGCCCCAGGAAGCACATCAAGCAGCCATCTGAGGAGTGGCCAGTGGAGGTGTCCCTAGGGTGAAAAGACAGTGTTTACTGCAAAAAGCCTGAAGGTAATGATTATACTCACCAGAACAAATTCATTAAACTGTATTTGTTCTGGTGACTATAGTGTCCCTTTAATGGCTTGGCTCTTGGTTTGTCCCTAAACAGTGAGAATATATACAAAACTAACAATAATTAATATATATTTACCAAGGATATACCAAAATATATTTAAGCAAAGTATTAAAAATACCAATTTACTTTTACATTAAAAGTAGTGATTTAGAATAGTAAGGGTTAGAAGGTGTACCCATAATCCTAACTATCTCTAATGCATATGTAGAGCTGTCTTTTTGTCTAGCTCATAGAATGTGTAAGTCATATATTTAGAATTTAATTAATTATATATTAGTAATATATGCAGGCACTAGACACAAAGGCTAACCCATAAACACGTCTGTCTCAATGCAGGACTTCAAAGGGATGAGCTCAATCATCTAATTCTTCTATTCGGAGACTCTGAGAATAACATACACTTTGTAGAATATTTAGTGTGCATGTTACGACTGAAAGCAGTTGCAGGTAAGTTCTTTATTTGTGTGTTTAGTTATCACTGATGTATCTACCTAAACTGAAGGTGAGCAAGCTGCATTGTGGTGGGAATTGTTGCTCAGCCATGTTTGAGCAGGGAGAAAGTAGCCAGATAGAACATAACGTAAGTTTAGGATAGAATGGACAGTTATTCTGATGAGCAAGAGAAGATCGACTGACATTATTGACCAGTTTTGGTTTCATTTTGTATCACTTTAAAATGAAAGACCAGTTCTTCCTTCGCTTTCCAGCGTTGACCCTCACTCGGTAAAGAAATTAATTTCTCTGCCAGGGCTCAGGTCTAAATAAATAATTTAATATCATATAAATATTAAAGCTGGTCACTGATAAAAGTATGGAAAGAATTACAGGTGAAATAAGAAGATTATGTATTTGTCATCTTCGCAGCCATCACATGTTTGTATCATAAAAATTATTTTGATATTATATTTACTGAATAAAATTTAGATATTAAGCAAATCCCAGAAGACCAGTTTTAATTCTTATAATTACATGTTATTATAGAGCTTTATTTATAATGTCTAACTCTGGTAAATAAAAAGTTTTTTTGCCAGGATTTGATGTCCACCAACATGCTCACTGTGCCAAAGCTTATATAACAATTGGTTTTCTTAGAGAAATCCAATTATATGTTAATACTGATTATTGTCAAATTTATACCTGGACCTCCAGATTAAATAATCCTCACACCAAGAACCTTTGAATTTCCATCTTTTCGTAGGTGTGTTTAAATGCTTCTCAACTGATGGGAAAGGCGTGTATCTGAGTTATGAGCAGGTAAGTTATATTTCATGTTTCTGAAAGATTCAAAATAATTTTTCTAACATATGGAGTAATCTGATAAATTTCCTGAAATGTGGAGTAATCTGATAAATTTCCTGAAATCTGGAGTAATCTTATCGATTTCCTGAAATCTGGAGTAATTCTATAGACCAGGTTTTATACAGGTATAACACTCTTTAAATTCTCATATGCAATTGATGTTCTACAATATTTTTGTTGTTTTAATCCAGTTTTTACTATACAAAGATTTGGGGATCTTTATTTTATAAAAAGGAACATAATGTTTCCAGCCCATCCCTGAAAACAGATATTACAATGTAATTATTCATTTATAAATTAGTGGATTTTGTTTTTAAGCACTCTTTGGTAATACGATTTATTGTTTAGTATTTATTTACAAAGAATCTATATGGTGCTATGTTTTGTTGTACGTCTGTTAGCCTTATCAGAATTTGTTACAGTCAATTTATGTTGTTTGCTTTGTATTTTAGAAAGTCTATGTACACAGCACATTCCAATATAGATTTAACCCTTAGAACACAGAGTAAATACAAGTAGCATGTATCTGTTGCCGACCTATGCAATCAGAATCTGACTTTCCCTTTTGCACTGAAAATCAAAGGATGGTATTTATTTAAATATAGCACATATTGTAACCATTTTGTGGCTGTATCATAAATCTTTATTCAGTACTAACATTGACTGTGTTGGAATTTAATTAAACTTCCAATGCAATCAAAGGATATCTTAAGACAAGTTAGGGAATATAGTTAAGCTGCAGTCAAGTTTTGTGAAGAAACAAGTATCTTCTTGTGCATTGCCAGAGATAACGTGGTCTTGAGGGATCCTCCATAGACCTCAGCACGAAAGGTTGTCAGTGACGCAGGCTCCTGGTTGATGAAGCTCCAGGAGCTGAAGAAGAGAGGTTTTTTTTCCTGCACAATATTCTGCTTTTATTTAGTCCCTTAGGGAATCAATACAAGAGTTTATTTTTAATACTTAGAGCCAATCAAATGTTTGGAGTTTGTATTATATCAAGGAATCACTATCCTCCTAGATTGTATCCTGGACTATCCTTCAAGATAGTATCCTAGACTATCCTTCTAGATCGTATCCTAGACTATGCTTCTAGATAGTAACCTAGTCAATGCTTCTAGATAGTATCCTGGACTATCCTTCTGGATAGTATCATAGAATATCCTTCTAGACAGTAACCTAGACTATCCTTCTAGATAGTATCCTAGACTATCCTTCTGGATAGTATCATAGAATATCCTTCTAGACAGTAACCTAGACTATCCTTCTAGATCGTATCCTAGACTATGCTTCTAGATTGTAACCCAGACTATCCTTCTAGATCGTATCCTAGACTATGCTTCTAGATAGTAACCTAGACTATGCTTCTAGCTAGTAACCTAGTAAATGCTTCTAGATAGTGTCCTATACTATCCTTCTAGATAGTATCCTGGACTATCCTTCTGGATAGTATCCTAGACTATCCTTCTGGATAGTATCATAGAATATCCTTCTAGACAGTAACCTAGACTATCCTTCTAGATAGTATCATGGACTATCCTTCTGGATAGTATCCAGGACTATCCTTCTCGATAGTATCCAGGACTATCCTTCTGCATAGTATCCTAGACTGTCCTTCTAGATAGTATCCTGGACTATCCTTCTAGATCGTATCCTAGACTATGCTTCTAGATTGTAACCCAGACTATCCTTCTAGATCGTATCCTAGACTATGCTTCTAGATAGTAACCTAGACTATGCTTCTAGCTAGTAACCTAGTAAATGCTTCTAGATAGTGTCCTATACTATCCTTCTAGATAGTATCCTGGACTATCCTTCTGGATAGTATCCTAGACTATCCTTCTGGATAGTATCATAGAATATCCTTCTAGACAGTAACCTAGACTATCCTTCTAGATAGTATCATGGACTATCCTTCTGGATAGTATCCAGGACTATCCTTCTCGATAGTATCCAGGACTATCCTTCTGCATAGTATCCTAGACTGTCCTTCTAGATAGTATCCTGGACTATCCTTCTAGATCGTATCCTAGACTATGCTTCTAGATTGTAACCCAGACTATCCTTCTAGATCGTATCCTAGACTATGCTTCTAGATAGTAACCTAGACTATGCTTCTAGCTAGTAACCTAGTAAATGCTTCTAGATAGTGTCCTATACTATCCTTCTAGATAGTATCCTGGACTATCCTTCTGGATAGTATCCTAGACTATCCTTCTGGATAGTATCATAGAATATCCTTCTAGACAGTAACCTAGACTATCCTTCTAGATAGTATCATGGACCATCCTTCTGGATAGTATCCTAGACTATCCTTCTAGATAGTATCCTGGACTATCCTTCTGGATAGTATCCTAGACTATGCTTCTAGATCGTATCAGACTATCATTCTAGATATTATCTAGATAGTATCCATTCCTGACTATCCTTCACTGACTAGAACCTGAGTGAGTACACGGGTAAAACGTTTTCCTATACTCTATTGAAGGTTTTATCATTTAAATAAGGGGATTTCAAGTTATATACTATATGTAATCACTTAAGGGTTACCCCAGTGAGCACTTCTGGAATTTGGTGATTTATGAAGAAGAAAGATGGCTTCACCTCCGAGCTGCCACACATTCATTAAATGTCGAGATCCCCAGAGGTGACAGAGCTGCTTAACTTCTTTCCTAATACTCACATCCTGCCCCATCCCTGAAAAAAATATTTTTTTGCAGCTCTGTATCTGCTCAGTATACAGAAATGTGTTTTCTGTATATTAATTCATACAAACATAATGTGCAAACATACAAAAATGTTACACTTTATAATATTTGTTCTCTATTTTTTCAATCATATTCCTTACCCTACTCACCATATTTTTTTCCACATTAAGAAATATTATATTGAGTTTTGATGGCGGAGGGGGAAGAACGGCTAAACCGAACAGTGTTATTTTAACTTGTTGAAACTCATCTCTAAAATAATTAAAACTAGTTGCAAAGATTCAATTATATGACAGATTTAAAGCTGTACTTCCCCATCTCTATAAGGCTGCTACTTTTTATGTTATTAATTTACTGAAACTAAAATGGCTATTCACAGTGTCACTGTCATTGTGATACATATACATCTATACGGTATCGATATTAGTTCCTTGTTACTTGAACATTACATTGTTTCATTACAGTTGATGAAATCCATGATATGAAGGCCGAGGGTCAAGATTCAGAAACTGGAATGAAGCCTGGTAAGACAGTTTGGTATCTGGCAGTGAAAGGGAATCCTGGACCTGCAGATGTTTGTGAATGATATTTCCCAAAATGCTCAGCCCACCTCTAGGACCATTAGAGTACACAAACATCCTGAGGACCACCAAGACTGACCTTTGTTCCTAAACGGAATTTCACCTGGAAAGTCGATACAATAGATTAGAAGTCATCTCACTGCCCCATAATTGCCTTCATAAAGTGTATGCCAACTGGCAATCTGGCTAGAATTAATCAAAATTCCACAGATTTAGTGGAATATCAGTCAAGGACAATCAATAAAATATCTGGAGAAAATGATAATGTAAAGACTAGGACATCCCTGCCTTGACAGATAATACAAGAATGCATGCCGAATAATGAATGCATACATTAACAGTCAATACAGAACAATGTATACGGTTTTATTCTTCTGAAGTTTGCAAATATGGAATGTTGACACTTTATATCCTGTTAAATTGTACGGGTGTTCTATATTACAATAATGTGTGTACTGTTCTTCATTAATCTCTTTTACTTTTTTTCTTGCAGGAATTCTATAACTGTTGCCAACATTGAAGACATCAACCAATGTTGACTTTCTCCATTTAAATACTCAAGCATTCTGTTCTGATTGTAATGGATTGCAACTTCCCAAAACGCTGGCTAGCACTGGGTTACAAATGATTAATTAGTGTCGTTATTTTTCTGTTAATGCTCGAGAAAGGAATGGTCGACCGCCGTAGTATTGTCTAGTATTACAGATCCAATGGTGCTTCAAGCATTAAAGCCCGATAATTAAGTAAAAAATAAGAAATTCATTCTTGAAATATCACATATTTACTTAACTGTGATTCCTTTAAAAAATGTAAAGTAGTACAATAGTTTGTTCTATGAAAGCATTAAATGTGTTGTGATATTTCTTTATATAATTATAAAACAACATGTCTTTCAGACCAAAGATGTCCAAACTCCACCTAGGTGTTCAACTACATTTCTCCTAGGATTGTAGTAGCCAACTTTAATTTCACATAAAATATTTATATATGAAACATAATTAAATATGAATAAAATCTAAAAAAGTGTGAGAAATTAAGAAATTTTATTTTTTTTATATCTGCATGGCATTTTAACTGTGAATTTCATAAAACTGTTACCTTTTACTGCAATTAAAAATTGTCTCACGTACATTGTCTCTTGTACAGATTTTTTGGAAACTTACATGGTCAAGTAGAGCACATTCCCTTTTTCAACTTTCACAAATTGAAATTTGCCAGATTGGTTATGTTGCCTTTGAGACCATATAGCAGCCCAGGAATAAAAATGACCCCGATCATGGCATACCATTTGCAAAAGTAGACAACCCAAGGTGTTCACAGTCTTTTTTAGTCACAAACCCTGGTCAAAGTTACCGTTCATATTAGTTTTTTTGCATTTTTCACACAAAAACTGTACTTTCACGGATATCATTGTAATATGTTAATGTTTTTAAACATTCATATTCGTCACATGATATGATCAACGCCACATATTCCACACCTATTGTTAATATATTCATATATATTATATACATGTTTTCTCTTTTTTTCCCCCCAGTATACATTATGAGACATTATCACTGATTCACTAACTATACGTGTATAATTTCATCCATTTAAGCATTGTGTTTATTGTATCTAATGTATACAAGGAACATACTGCATAGCAGACATACCAAATGAATAAAGGTTCAGATAAACCTGCAGCATACAAATTAGATATGGGCCATGTTTCAGTAAGAAAGAATATATTCCAATAAACATGGCGGATAATGAGACCGTACAAGGTTTGGCAAAAGAAAACAGACAGCACAAATGCATTTTCAGGATTGAGAGTTGGCAACAGGAGGATGTGCAGAGTAAAAGAGACAGCTTAAGTAGGGTTAGGCAGCATTCAGCTCTCCGGATATTGCGGACTATATGTCCCTTGGTGTTTTTTCCAGCATTATGGCTGTAAGAGTACACAAACTATATATCTACAAGAAATAATAAACAAGAGCCAAATAGTGTAATACAGCAACTACAGCCAATGGAAGAAATGTCACGGTTAAACTCACAGGTATATATAGTAATATGAACTGGCTCATCTTCCTGTCCACCCGCACCTCCCACGCCTCACACTTCTGTCAGTCCCTACATTGGCTTCCTGTAAGATATAGAGCTCAATTTAACATTCTGGTTCTTGCTTTCAAATCGCTACATAATGCTGTTCCCACCTATCGATGCTCCCTAATACACAAGTATGTACCGTCTAGGCCCTTACGCTCTGCTGAAGACTTACGTCTATCTTCTGTCCATACTCCCACCTCTGATGCTCACCTTCAAGACTTCTCAAGGGCTGCAACGTTCCTGTGGAACTCGCTTCCCTCCTCTGTTAGTCGCTCACCCAGTCTCCACTCCTTCAAAAAATCATTAAAAACCCACTTCTTCATAAAAGCGTATCAATTAAACTGTTAATAGCTCCTGACTGATTCCTCTCTTGCAACCGTCATTAGTCTAATACTACCGTTACATTTTGTGTCACTTATCCTCACTCCCTCTAGAATGTAAGCTCATTGAGCAGGCCCTCAATCCCTCTGTTACTGTGTCACTATACCCCACTCCCTCTAGCATGTAAGCTCATTGAGCAGGGCCCTCAACCCTTCTGTTCCTGTGTGTCAATGCTGCAGAACATTCAGCTTTGAGGAGTTTGTCATGGAGGCAATAAACTTTCCCTATAGAGATGCAGTGATTCAATGTGGAGATGCTGACTGGCCAGCGACTGGCCCTACCCCCCCATAGGAAAGTATTGGATTGGCTGAGATCATCAATTCTGATGATCTCAACCAATGACGTAGATCAGGGTCGAGGCCAGTGCCGATTGACCTGCGTGGCACTGGAATAAAGGTGAGTTTTTATCATATTTAAAGGGGGGATTTGGATCTAATTAGTACTTTTAACACTATAGCATCAGGAATACAAGTTTGTATTCCTTTAAAGTTGTCTACTATCATTCTTTTGAAATACTTTGATGGTTATCCCTAGTTTTCTCTCAGAAATACACTCACATATGGCAGCCTTGAATCACCTCTATGGACTCCTTGACAACCCAGAGAGAGTTGGCTAAAGTTGAGTAGTAATCTCATGAATGGGTAAACATATCAACAAATAAATAAAATGTCATTTAATCCACTGGGTAACATACTACACTGGACAGTACTAGCCCTGTCTTACACAGCAAAGTAAAATAATTCATAGTGCTCTCCCCTCCTGTCAATTAGTGTTCTCCCTTTCTGTCCCTTAGTGCTCTCCCTTGGCCCCCTGTCCCTCTGCAGTCCCCCCTTGGTGGTCTTCTCACTCCCCCCTCTCCCTCTTAGTGGTCCTCCCTCCCTCCCACCAGTTTCTACCCTTTGGTGGTCCTTCCTCTCTCCCCCCCCTTAGTGGTCCTCTCTCTGGCAAACCCCTAGTGGACCTTCCCCCCTCCTCCCTCAGTGGTCCATACTCCCCCCCTCCCTCAGTGGTCCCTCCCCCTCCCCAGTGGTCCTACTCCCTCCCTTCCTCCCCAGTTGCCCCCCTCCTCCCTGGTGGTCCTTGGTGTCCCCCCCTCCTCCCCAGTGATCCTTGTGTCCCTCCACCTCCTCCCCCAGTGGTCCTTTGTCCCCCCAGTGGTCCTTAGTCCCCCACTCCTCCTCCCTCAGTGGTTCTTAGTCCCCCCCTCCTCCCAGTGATCCTTAGTGTCCCCTTCCCTCCCTCCCCAGTGGTCCTTTTGCCCCCGGTGGTCCTTAGTCCCCCCTCCTCCCCAGTGGTCCTGTCCCCAGTGGTCCTAGTCCCCCTCCCCTCTTCCCCCAGTGGTACTTAGTTCCCCCCCCCCCCAGTGGTCCTTTGTCCCCCCCCCAGTGGTCCTTAGTCCCCCCCTCCTCCTCTTCCCCCAGTGGAACTTTTGTTGGCACTTTATAAATATCAATAATAACAATAATATGCACCTGCGGATTGAACCATCTATATCTACATTCTGCCAGGTGCGATACCCAGTTATTAAACCCATGCAGCCTCTTTTGCGTATTTACCGGAATAAGAAGAAAGGGTATTTCTCCAGCATTTTGTATTTGATTGTATCCACGTGTTGCTGTTTTATCCCATCTTGCAGTGAGGGTTATTTTATTTTTAGTTATTTCTCCTCCAGAAGCAATCTATATTTCTCGCTATTTACCTGTGAGCTCTGCTATTTGTTTAATTGATCTACAAGTCGTAGAAGATGTTCATTAATGGCAGCCATTAAATACAAGTTCACGAAGCTTGAAGGAAAGCTCTAAGAAGATTAAATTTGGGCAAAGAGTTGTAAATCAGCACAAATAATGCAATAAATAGCATTCTTTTATCCTAATCATGGAAATGCAATTTCACGGAATGCAAGGGGACATTAACTTTCCCATTGTGATGATAATTACAAAATATCTTACACTGCACCCCTGCCGTGGGCGCAATACTCATTGTTCTGGTAACAGTAACTGCTCGCCATATACTGAGCAGAGCATGGTTTGCTCTGTATGTTCCATTTTCGGTTTCTACCTCTGTTAGTCTGCATGGGCATTGTCGGGGGTGGGATAGTGAGGCTAAAGCCCTTGGTGTGTCAGTGAAATCCCCAAGTGCCTTGCCTGGGACTGGCTAATCTGAGTAAGTCCTGCTCCCAGAAGTATATATAGTGTGCCATATTGGCTCTCACTGTTTAGCAAACAGAGGCTGGAGAGAATATGAGAGTAAACGACAACCCAGCTCCGCAAAAACTGTACATAGCATTATACAGTACAGAAAAGGGAGTGGAGAAAACTCACAAGACATCAGGAAATTCATGCTTGTCTCCCCAGAAAAGAGGTAGGCAATACATCTGCTGGTACTTCAACTTAGCGTAATAAAGTTAACATAAAGGTAAAACAATACTTTTAATGCTTAAAAATGCACTTACAAGAGCCGGCTACTGGCTATTGTTCCTGCTCCACCTAACCATTTGCACTGTGCTGTTCTGGGTGGAGATATGCCTGGATATATTGCCCTCTTGTAAGTGCCTTTTTAAGCATTAAAAGTGTTGTTTTAACTTTATGTTAACTTTATTACGCTATTGGCTCTTCTTTTATAACCTACGGCTGCCAGTTGAAGTACCAGCAGACGTATCGCCTACCTCTTTTCTGGGGAGACAAGCCTGAATTTCCTGACGTCTTGTCAGTTTTCTCACTACCCCCCCACTCCCTTTTCTGTACTGTATGACGCTATGTACAGTTTTTTTTTTTTTTCTAGATATTGTATTCTCAGGTGGTATTTATCTTCTCCTAGTGTGGAGCTTGCCTTTTTTTTATACTGTGTATAAGTGCTTGTTTTACTCTGTTTGTATTCTGCATTCGATCAAGGCCTGTTAATTGCCACTAATCCCCTTCACCATTAGAATGTTATTGGGAACCAATGAGGTGAGCAGATAGAAAGCAATAAGACATTGTGCTACATACATTTCCACACACAAAGACTTTATATAGACACAAACGTGTATTTAGCACAGTGTGATCATCATATGGATTGACATTGTTGCACAGTCCACTCATGGGGGAATTGATCAAGGGAGTCAGTTCATGATTCTGCTGGGCCTGTATGAATCATATCGGTATCGGTAACTTATTAATGTACTTCCCCCAATCTATTACCTCCACCCCTTAGGGGTTGCCTATTAGAGGGATTGAGCTCTTGTACTATGATTGAGTACCTCCACAAGCTCAACTTCCTTGCTGCTACCAGGGGACTCTGGAGTACTACAGGCCTAGTCACCAAAGCTTGACTGGCGTCTCTGAGTACATCTTCCACATGCTCCCTTGATAAAGGCCTTTTTGCCGAAACATTGGGGGTGTTTTGGTGACTGACTCTTCTCACTAGGTCTGGTATGCTTATTGTTATATATTTTTTGTACATATATTTGTATTTGTGGGGTTGGATTAGATTGGTATCTCATTTCTCTATTTTGTATACTGAGATTCTGCTATTCATAGGAGACGCATTTGGCGTCTATACATATATATTCAGAATTTTTCTGACCATTGCTGCATAGCGTGATATGATCCTATATTTTGGATCCTTATGTTATGTGACATTCTTATAGAGTGTACCTACTTAATAAAGATTTTTTTGATCATTATTGATGGTTGTGCTCCTTACTCTATTGTTATTTACATGTATTTGGGCTTTTGGGGATAGAGCCTCATGTGAGTGAGCACCCCGTATCGTATCTTCATAGAGCTCCATTTGGGAGCTTGCTCATATTTCATATTGGTTGTGCCT